GATGACAAAACATCATTCATCACTTCAAGCATTGGGATACTTAAAGATTCCTGTAGAATTTTGTAAAATTCCACTGGTAGCCCATCTGGGCCCGGGGCCCTTCCAGTATTTTGTCTCTTTAATGCCTCAGTTAAGAACTTGGTTGTTTTCTTGATCATATTTCATTACTCAAATTAGGTGACTTCATCAATGCACTGATGATGTTTGTGTCAGGATTTGACATAAAAATTGACAGTTTGTATATTTTTATTATGAAATTTATTTATCACCTCTCTTGTATTCAACTACTTTGTATACCTTACAACATAAAAAAAAATTTGACCACTACATGACTGCTGCAAAATTCTTACAGGGAAGTATTGCAACATATTATCTTAGGAGGTAAGAAGTATTTTGAAAAGAAACAAAGAAACAAAGACTTTTGAACTAGTCACTAAAAGAGCCAGGAGGAAGTGAGGATACAGTAACAACAGTTAATTGCTTGAAAATAACATTAAACATATGAAAAAATAAATAAAGTTGATTTCAAGTCCCATTAGGAAAAGCTCAAACAAGGACAGGATATGAAGCTTTTTAATTTCACCCTAAAACCTTATAACAGGCAAAATAAAAAGGAAAAGACCGTAGTGTTTTCTCTCCCTCTCTCTCCCTCTCTCTCTCTCTCCCTCTCTCTGTCTCTCTCTCTCTCTCTCTCTCTCTCACACACACACACACACACTCACTCACTCTCACTCTCACTCTCTATTTGTGTGAGAGAAAATATAATAAAAAATTGTATATAGCAATTAATTTCTTTATATAGTAATTAATTTCTTGTTGAATTTTATTAAAACACTTTTGCAGCAGTTTGAGAATATGAAAAAACAAACAAACATAAATCTATCTTTACTTCATCTTTGTGGTTGATTATATTATTTTCTATGGCTTGATATGTTCCAGATTGCTTGTCTTTATTCATAAAAATTATTTGTTTTTCCACTACCAAATTTCAGAGAAATATTAATTTTGATAATTAATACAATTATCCTTACTTTATAATTATTTTTATATTTATAATAGATATGTATTTTAATTTATTTATGAATGTTACTTGCCAGCCATCTCACGGATCAGAAGTCTCTGAGATGCTTACATCATAACAACATATAACAGCAATTATAATTTAAAAGTGAATTAAAATTACAAAAATTAAAACAATTTTAAAAACTTGTGGAAAGGAGAGATGGTATTAGGGTATCAACCACATCTAATCAGCAGCATCTTTCTGGACCCCAAGCCTAGCCAGGGTTTAAGGACTTTCCTAAAGGCCTAAAGAGAGCGGGCGGATCTTATCTCTGTGGCAAGATGTTCCAGAGAACAGGAGCTGTAATAGAAAAGTATCTTCTAGATTCCACAAGCTGAAATTCCTTGGCTGATGTGGTCCTTTTGCCAGCACAAGTGAGGTCGGCCAATCCCATTAGGAAAAACAATTCCACAATTATCCTGGACCCATGCCATAAGGGGCTTTAAAGGTAATAACTAACATCTTGAATTACCATATATGCCGGCGTATAAGACGACCCGGCGTATAAGACGACCCCCCAACATTTCCACTCAAAATATAGTTTGTTATATACTCGCCCCCTCTTCCGCACGCCTTCCACTTTTGCACTTTTTTTTTTTGAGGCACTTTTGTCTACCGTGGAAACGAATCCCATGAAGCCGAAAGGAGCAGCCAGCCTTCTCCCAGCTCCCAAGGAAACGAGGCTCGCACCGCCCGGGCTCTGCTGAGGTATCCGGCTGGGGCTGTCAGGAGTTGTTACCGCTGGCGCGGCTCCGCGCGGCTCCAGTCCCGCGTTGCCTCGGGAAGGGAAAGGCAAAACCAGGAGCCGCTGCTGCCATTGCAAAGCACCGCCACGGCTCTTCCTTTTTGCCTTTCCCTTCCCGAGGCAACGCGGGACTGGAGCCGCGCGGAGCCGCGCGGAGCCGCGCCAGCGGTAATAACTCCTGACAGCCCCAGCCGGATACCTCAGCGGAGCTCGGGCGGTGCGAGCCTCGTTTCCTTGGGAGCTGGGAGAAGGCTGGCTGCTCCTTTCGGCTTCACGGGATTCGTTTCCACGGTGCGCAAAAGTGCCTCAGCCGCGGGCAGCCGCAGTGCTTCCCAATTACTATTTGCCGGCGTATAAGACGACCCGGCATATAAGACGACCCCCCCAATTGGAGGCATCTTTTTCAGGGCAAAAAAGTCGTCTTATACACCGGCAAATACGGTACACCCAGAAGCAGTTTGACAATCAGCTTAGCTTGCATAATACTTATATTACATTTGCCACCTTAAGGGCCTCCAAAACTTTCTGAGTACTGGATTATGTAGCTTCTGAAAGCTCTTCAAGAGTAGCTCCATATATAGCGTATTGCAATAATCCAAGCAGGATATGATTGGTGTGTGAATAACTGAGCGCAGGGCTTCACAGTTCAGTTATTAATTAATATTACTAAGCTATGTTACATTTTTAGTTAAAGACTCTTTTTTCTTTTTCTGAGAACATTAGTTTTTAAAGGTTACCTATATAATCTATAAATTAACACACATATATACATATATACATACATCTCTCTCTCTCTCACACACACACACACACACACACACGCACACACGTGCACACACACACACACACGAGGTGGTATTCAGCAGGTTCTGACCAGTTCTGGAAAATCGGTAGTGAAAAGTTTAAGTAGTTCAGAGAACTGGCAAATACCACCTCTGACTGGCCCCACCCCCATCTATTCTTTGCCTCCCGAGTCCCAGCTGATCACCTGGATCTTCTTTTGTTGCCCTGCACAGGAGAACAGAGTTGGAAAGCAGGTTAGTGGGGTGGGGAGGGAATGGGATTTTGCAGTAACCTTCTCCCAGGAGTGGAGTGGGAATGGAGATTTTGCAGTATCTTTTCCCTGCCATGCCATGCCCACCAAGCCACACCCACAGAACCGGTAGTAAAAAAATTGCATCCCACCACTGATATATATTCTAATTCTATTTTATTCTATTTATAATTAGTTCATTTTTAGTTTATTTCTCATCACTTTTATCTTAAAAATTGGTCTTTCATCAGCATTATTGCAAAACAGAAACATATTAGAACCCAAGTTTTTGAATAAAATGCAATTTTTATTACACTGAAAATATTCACTGCTACAATATTTTTTAAAAAACACCTCCACTATAATTTGGAAACTGAAAGTGAATGTAAGTTTGGTGTAGTTTCATTTTGAACTATTACTAACTATTTTGTTAATCCATGGCATTAATTATCTTTAAACTGGTTAATATTATTTATTTATTCTAATGTGTTTAGTAATTAAAGATTTTTATTTATTGGGAAATTTGAATCAATTGCATTAATCATGAATAGAGTTTGTCAGAATTGAGTGGGACACTTTAAAAAAAAGTTAAATAATCAGTAGTTAAATTAATCTAAGCAGTGCAATGGTTATAAAGTCAGAAATAACCCATGTAATTATTCAGTATTATTCATAATGGTATTCATTTTGTGGCACATAATTTTTTGTTCCTTTTAAGTTCCCAAAGCAATTAATTATCAGTAAAGTTATTTTATCAACAAAGTATAACCTGTTATCAAATTCCAACATCATCCTTATGTCTGCATATATCTGTCTCTCATCTATTCTGTTCTGAGGTAAATATGTAACTGCAGGCTTAGAAATTAAGGCTTCATCTTGTTTTAATTGTTGCTACAATTTTATGGAGAAATAAATTTCTCCTCCCAATTCCCAGATGTTGATGAAGCCTTTAGAAAGTCAAGAAAGGCAAAATCCCTCCATTTTCATTCATATTTTCTTTTTTACCATCTGCAGTACAGTGCTCACATTGATATATGGACTGTTTGACTATGCTATAAATCTTGCTGGAATAAACTATTTAACTAGCACATTGTATCTGTTTTACTGAGTATAAGCTACAAAAACGTTTGTCTCACATATTTGCCTGACTGCCGTGCAGGTTCTGCTAGGGTGTATATCCCTAACAGCAACCATCTCAAAATTCAACAAAAAAAAATCAAAAAAGGCAACACAATAGTTAATACAATTGATTATGTTTGTCGGGTTTAACATTAACTTTGATAATACCTTTTAAGTGTGGGTACGCTTTATTATGAGCACCTGTTTCCCAGTATTTATTTTTTTAACATGGATGTTCCTTAATATGTACATTTTGAATACTGTTTTCAGAAATAAAACCTACAAATCCCTTAACAAAGTAGGGGTTAGAACTTTTTTTTCTTGAGGTGCAAGGCTGATATAATAAAGCTAGGATAAAATATTGCCTTAATTGCGCAGCTGTGGTTGCCATATTGTTTTTCTTTTTCACAACCTCCTCTTCATCATCCTACAGCAGACATTCCTGTTACTCATATTGATTGAATATGAACTATAAATCCATTAAAACAGTATATATTCTTATGTTCATATTTCAAACAGACCTCTCTTCCTTTCTAAAAAGGGACTGTGTATTATTGCAATATGAAGGATTGTAGTCCAAATACAATAAACATAAATTTTATGACAAATCTGAAAAAATGCCCATTTCCAAGGCTAATATGAAATAAAGACCAGAATCTTATTTCAACTTTATTTTGGTTAGTCTCTGACTTCACAGTTAATTAGAAATCTGAGTAAAACAAGTTTTTAATTAAAAACTCCCAATGTCTTAATGTTAGTCCAAAAATTAGTACAGGATTTTTTTTTAAAAGAAATGATTTTGCTAATGAAAAGGCAGAAGTATAAAAGGGCGATTATTCCCATTTACTGCTTTATTTTGTTAATTTCTCTATCTCGCCATTCTTTTCTAATTAATATTCTACAAGGTTAACAATAATTACAATTGAGATTTACATTAATTACAGATACATTTATCTTTAGTTGGTAGTGGTTTATGAAGCAGTCCATGTCAGTCCATTACCTCTTTTTTCTTTTTCTTACTTTTTTTGTTTTGTTCACAGATTTTATTCCTCAACGTACAATATTGCTACAAACCGCATGATTCCACAGACATCTATCACGCCATTCATTGCTGCTTCCCCTGTCTCCACATATCAGGTATGTTTGAATTGCCTCGTATACCCCTGATTCAATATCTGTGATCTGAATAACAATGGAGGGTAAATGTATACAACATATAATCCAGACCTGCACATTAACTTTGTTGTTTAGTAGCACTTAAAAAAGAGAGTCCTTGACAGCAGTTCCCATTGGAGAGCAGCTAAAATTGTTTGCTGATCAATGGGACAGCTCCACCTCTAATGCGTGGGTCAAGGACACTATTAGGTTTGGTTTGGCGCTAGATATTCAATCCTCCCCCCCGAACTTTTTCATTAGGAGCCCTAGGTCCACGGACCCCATTAAGAGGGTGTTGATGCAGGAGGCTATCAATCATCTTCTACATATTCGGACCATTAGAGAGGTCCCATCTGAACAGCGAGGTCACGGCTGTTACTCTCTATTGTTTGTGATCCCAAAGAGTTCGGGGGGCTGGAGGGCAATTCTGGACCACAAACGTCTGAACAGATCATTGGTTTATCGAAAATTCAAGATGACTACTCTCCAGTCCATTCTGCTCAGCATCAGAGAGAACGATGTCCTGACCTCTATAGATCTCACAGAGGCTTATCTACATATACCAATTAGACCTGCTCACTACAAATATCTTAGATTCTGCTATTGTGATCGGCACTACGAATATATCGCCCTACCATTCGGTCTGGCTTCAGCCCCTAGGACTTTTACCAAGGTCCTCGCGGCTTTGGCTGCCTCACTCAGGATCAAATCTATTTGCTTACAATGTTATCTGGATGATATTTTAATTTTGTCATCTTCCAGACATCAAGCAAAATTGGATACCAAGATTACTCTGGAGACCCTTCAAGGTCATGGCTTTTCCATAAATTGGGATAAAAGCCATTTGATCCCCTCAACTAGGTTAGTTCATTTAGGGGCAGTGATAGATACCGTGGAGGGTAAGGTCTTTCTCTCTCAGGACAGGTTAAACAGTATCCAGTCTTTGGCCAGAAAGATCAGAGCCTTAAAGAGGGTTTCCCTGGCAGTGCTGTCTCAACTGTTAGGGAAACTGATTTCTTGTATTTCCATTGTGCCTTGGGCTCGATTCCATTCTAGAGAGCTGCAATGGTTCCTGCTACCTTTCCAGCGACCCAGAAGAGCCACTTCCAACGTCCGGATAAAGGTACCACACAATGTTCTCCGATCACTCTGCTGGTGGTTGGAAAAAACGATAAACAAGGGGTGTCCTTTCAAGGAACCTTACAGGGCAACGATCACAACCGATGCCAGCCTGGTAGGATGGGGAGCTCACTTCCAATCCCACACTGTGCAGGGAATTTGGACTATTTCCGAACAATCACAAAGCATCAACCTGTTGGAGCTGCGAGCAGTTCACCTGGCCTTACGCAGCTTCTACCCCTTTTCCAATCATGCCACAATCTGGTCGTGACAGACAATATCACAACCAAGGCCCACGTAAACAGACAGGGGGGTACCCATTCCAAACTTCTGATGCTGGAGACGGCCAAGTTGTTCAAGTGGGCCGAGGCCAATCTGTTTTCACTCAAGGCAGAACACATAGCAGGGGCCTTAAACACACAAGTGGACTGGCTCAGCAGGGCCGCGATAGATCAGGCAGAGTGGCGCTTACACCCGTCTGTCTTCCAGGAAGCAGTGTGGAGGTTTGGGCAACCGGTGATCGATCTATTTACCTCTCCTCTCAACACCCAATTGCCCCAGTATATTTCAAGGTACCCGACTCAGGGGACGGAGGCCATCAATGCCCTGCGTTGTCAGTGGCCTCCCGGACTTCTATATGCATTTCCTCCACTCCCGGTAATACCCAGGTTGATCCAGAAGTTATTGGAGGAACGAGCAGAATTGATATTGGTCGCCCCTTACGGGTCCAGGCGAACATGGTTCGCAGACTTACAGGACCTGTCGAGAGAACAGGAAAATTCCACCGTCGAAGGTTTTCCTCTCCCAAGGGCCGATACTTCACCCGAACCCACAATGTCTCAGTCTAACCGCATGGAGGTTGAGAGGAGCCGTTTAAGGACCCAACAGATTTCAGAGGATGCTATTGCCACCATTCAAGCATCCAGACGGTCCTCAACAAATCGTATATATGAGGCCACGTGGTCTGCCTTCTGTTGCTGGTGCCAGGGGTCTTAGATCGACCCAACTGCCCCATCAATACGACAGTTATTGGCCTTTTTACAGGAGGGGTTGACCAAGGGCCTATCTCCAAATACTTTATGCAGACAGGTGGCGGCTTTAGCCTCGGTGATAGCCTGGGGTGACCTCCGGTCCATAGCGCACCATCCACATGTCCACAGCTTTCTTAAGGGTGCTGCAAACTTACGACCTCCTGTAATTCACCGCTATCCCACCTGGGACCTCAACAAGGTGTTAACCGCACTTACAACTGGCCCGTTCGAGCCTTTAAGAACCGATAGTCTTAAATTCCTGTCATATAAGGTGGCCTTCCTAATTGCAATCACATCAGCAAGGAGGATTTCCGAATTGGCAGCATTGTCAATGAGAAAGGACCTGTGCGTGTTTCATGCGGACAGAGTGATTCTCCGATTGGATCCATCATTCACTCTTAAAGTAAATTCAGCCTTCCACAATTATGCAGGAGTTGGTGCCTCCAATTTTTTGTACGAAACCATCTCATAGACTGGAGCATCAATGGCATCGACTTGACGTTCAAAGGGCCTTAAGCATCTATCTAGACCGCACGGTGGCATTTCAAAAATCTGAGGCTCTATTCCTATCCTTCAACCCATCCACTTTAGGGCAAAAGGTGTCATTGACGACCATCGGTAGATGCTTGAGAGCCACCATAACTAAAAGTTACGATTGCCAGTCCATCTCAGTTCCTAAGGGCATTGCAGCCCACTCAACAAGGAGTGCGGCAACATCAGCAGCATGGGCCACACGGGCTTCCATAGATGAAATTTGCAGAGCGGCAACTTGGGCTTCACCATCTCCCTTTGTCAGAAATTATAAAATTGATGTCTATGCCTCAGCGGACGCTTCATTTGGCAGAAGACTCCTGCAGAGGGTCCACAGAGTTTAGGAGTGGATTTCGATCCAGACGGAGTCCCTCCCTAAGGACAGGCCAAGCTTTGGTATGTCCCACTTCTGGATGCTCTGAACAGCTCATGGGAGAAAGGGCGTTGGTACTTATCTGATACGCCCATTGTCTGTGAGCTGTGAAGAGCATCCAGCCCCACCCATTTCTGGTGGGGTTCTGGTGGGGTTCCGTTCCAGTCAGGGATCTAGATTAGATGATGGGTCCCGGACTTTGGCACTCAGTCTTCGCAAAACTGGGGGACGCTGGGGGACGCTGGGGGATGCTGAGGAGGTGTCCCGTGGAGGAGGAGGAGCGTCCCGGAGTTTTAAGCCCAGCCTTTCCAGAAGAGACTGAAGCACCTCCCACTTCTGAATGCTCTTCACAGCTCACAGAGAACGGGCGTATCAGGTAAGTACCAACGCCCTTTTTCTAGGTGTCTACCTGAGCTTCAAGTAGCAAATGCATAAGTAGCATAGCATGTCTAGAGTAAATTATATTTTTGTAAAAATAATTTTAGATTGACTTTTAAATATCGGTTAGTTTACGGAATGATTAGTTGTCACAACTTTTAGTTTGTAAACGTATTATCATAATGCATTTGCCTCTGCATAATATTTTCAACCAACACTGAATATTTTGTAGATGAAGAGGACATATTAAATTATAGTATAACTTCACTGTAAGAGGTGAAGTTGGCAGGGCTGAGGGAATAAGGCATGCCTGTTACACACATATCAGTTAATTCAGAAGAAGAAGAAGAAGAAGCCATCTTTGATGAATCTCAAAATTTAATTAAGAAAGAGAGGAGAAAGAGAGGAAGGAAAATGAAGGACTTAAGATTTAAAAAAACACCCAAGAAAGAGAAAAATAAGATGCAAAATCAATATAATGCTAGAAAACAAAAGAAAAAAGGAACACAACAGAGAAGGGAAGCTAACAAGGCAGAGGCTAGGAGAAGGGGTGGGGGTAGAAAGGCCTGGTGGGAGAAGAAAGAAAGGGAAAAGGTGGAGAAAAGCCACAAAGCTTTGAAACCAGATGGGAAAAGAGGAATTTTTTTTAGGGACAAAGGGTAAGGTATAATTTGTTTTAAAAAAAGATTCTGCAAGGTACATAAGATGGTACTGTAGCATTTGTATTAGAAATAGAAAATTAGAATGGTTTAAGAGTTAATAAGAGATTAAAATATTGAAATGTTTAGTAATGTATTTAATCATTTTGGATTTATTATTTTTCTTTTTTAAAAATTAGTAGATAGAATGTACCAAGCAGAATCAGATTGGGTATTAGGTGTTATTTTAAATGTTAATTTAGGGGGATGATAGAAAGGCATCATACTCTGATTAGTGATTTCAGGAGAAACTCTTTTTTCTTTTTACTATAGGGAATGAGACAAATGGATAATAAAGAATGGACAAAGGATACAAATATAATGACTTAAATTAAAATGAATTAAATAAGATAGAATTAAGAAAAGTGAAATGTGTGGAGAAGCTAATTTAGAAGATATAGAATGGTAAATAAAATAGGTAATGGCATGTAAGATGAGCATGAATATAATTGAAGTCCATGTAGAGAGAGGTTTCTGGGGCCAAGTTACTTTCCTAAAAGATCTTTTATATTTTTGTGTTTTGTGTGTTTATGTATGTGGGAGAATTAATAAAACCTTGCAGGAATATAGAATGAGAATAATGGTAACCAAGTCAAAGAGAAATAGATGATAATTATAAATTGGATAAATATAGAGAAAAATAATAATAGTGAAATTGGATAAGAGTAAAGAGTAATAAAGAGAAATTGGATAAGAGATATTTGTATGCTCATATGGAAATGGTCTAAAATAGAATTATATTGTATAAAATAATGTTTTATTTGGCTTGTAAAATTTATAATGGAAAGAGGTTCATGTATTAATGGTTAATGATGGTTTGTTTGTCTTTAAAATTAATAAAATTTGTTTAAAAAAAAAAAAGGTCAGAAGGCTATTTTACCACATCTGATAGAGCTATGAAAAAAAACCTCAAAAGTGCTGGAAACTCATAGTATAGTGCAGAAAATCTTGAAATTTAAATTTGAAATGAAATCACAACTTTTTATACTACATATGATCTCTGAATCAATAACAATCAACAAGAAATATTAATTCAGTTAGATAAACAGTAGCAACAATAAATTTCACTTGAACTGGAAGAATGACACAGTTCAAACAATCCCTGATTGGGAACTTGTAGAATATGCAGAAGTGGTAAAATTAACAGTTTTAATTAACAATTAAAATTAACAAAAGTTTAATTAAATTTAAGCCAAAATAGTTCCCATAACTATAACATATCATACAACATAGAAAATGTAATTAAATGCTGTCTGATTTCTAAGAGGACTTATATGTCTACAAATATTGTGAATCAGAAAATATATTAAAAGGAAACAGTCACAAACTCAGAAATTCTTTTTAATATTCCATTTTCCACATTTTTGGATTGTAATTCTTTTTCCATTTGCTCCATTTATCTATTTTTTTCTTTTATTAACGAGTGTTTGTGTTAACAATACAATAGAGACTTCAATATTAAGTAAACAGATTGAAGTATCTACAACACAACAAATAATTGTGATAATGATTCTTTTTTACTATTATACTCAACTTTGAATGTATTATTTTATGCTTGTATTAGTGCACCATAAATTGTAATTAAAATTGATAGAATATTTTTTCCTTTTTTTCTTTCTTCTCAGTACTCTAAGCCATGGATGTCAAACTCGCTGCGTCAAGTTGCCGTCATGTGACATATTGCAACTTTTTTCCCTTTGCGAAGCTGGGATGGGTTTAGCCTGCACATGACGCATCCGGCCCATGGGTCACCAGTTTGACATCTCTGCTCTAAGCTAGCTAAACAATAGATTAATAATCTTTAATACTGTTAGATAAATATATTATTTTGAAACAACACATCACAAAATGTATAACAATGTAAGAAAAATACATTAAAAAAATCAAGATGATGGCCACAATTGCTCATGAGGGAGGGTTACCACCTATGTCCCTGAGGACACCTTTTGTTTATTAAGCATCTGAGGATAAATTTTCAAGTATATAGAATCACAATAAATTAATTTGTCGAATGGAACCTGTTAGTGAAATCAGAAAAAAAATAAGAATGATTAGATCTGTGATACTGTGATACTTGTAAAAGTTTACAAGTGTTTCATGAAAAGAACTGTTTAGCCACCAAATAGTTAAATGACTGATGAGATAATTATTTGAAGAGCTGAAAATACAAGAAAAAAAATTGCTAATAGCCTACAAAAGCCTAAGAAACTTAAGGCAGCCATAGAGTCCATGCAGCCACAGCCGGTGGAGTGAGCAAGCATGAGTCATGCAGGGGAGCCCATGCAGGAAACATTCGCCTGCCTGGGACTGCCCAAGGACACTGGATGGGAGCTTGAAGCAGGTGTCCCTGCTTAAAAACACCAGAAAGGAAGGGGCCCACATGGGGGGGAAACAAAAGATGGGTAGACAGGAGGCATGGAGGTAGCTGCATGATTAGGTGGGCTGACTCTAGCTCTGCATGGCTACAAATGCAGTCTGGCCCCAGCAGCTGCAATCACTGGCTGGCCTGCTGCTACCATCACAGCCGCCGCCACTGCTGCTGCAGCATCTGGTGTCCTGTCGCACTGCCGTTAGGGCACTCTGTGGGGTTGACACATGCGAATCACATGTTGTCTCCTCCAGTGGCCTGGGTCAGGGTGGGCCTTTTTCTTCCCATCCCATGAAGAGCAAGAAAGCTTGGAGGAGGGAACCATCCTGCTTCCCACTCCTCTTTGCTGCTTCAAAGGGCCCTTGGATATTTTGTGCAGCCTGTTGCCCTGCACAGCAACCACTGAGTCACTTGCCTCCTCGCCCAGTGCCCAAGACTGCTACTTGCCCCACCTGGCTGCTGAGAGGCACATTTAATTGTCCCACAGAACAGATCATCCAGGTACAAGTGTTTCTCTATGATGGAACAAGAGGGTGGGACAGGAATGTAAGCAGACCATTGTCAGGGGAGAGCACCAGTGGAGGACCCACTGAGCATAAACATCAGTGATGGATTGGCTGAGGTGGGGAGCCCACGTTGGAGTACGCATGGCAATGTGCCTGGCATCAATTATCCTGGACCCATTCTCAATTAGGTTTTAAAGAGAAGTGATGCTTCCTTGTTGGTCTACTGGAAGAGACACTAATTAGTGTTGATTAAAGCATGTTCTTTGCTTGTTTTTGCCAGTAAAGGCCAAAAAGACAGCAAGTAAAACTTTAATTGATTATAAAAATGGCTTCCAAACAGATGGGAAGAACCAAAGAGGGTTGATATCAGTGCCATTTTGAAATGTTTTGAACAATATATTACATGCCACCATGCTAGACTCCATTACATAATACCCCACAAATTATTGGAACAGGCTTGGCATAATTCCTTAATTTGTTATCATGCTGTTGTTCTGATAATTGTATTATAGTTGCTGCTCTGTAAAGTGAGAAATAGTTGCAGAAAGAATTAAAAGCAAACAGTGGCCTTGGATTTGTGACCTTTTATATATTTATGTTACATTAGGTAATCCAAAGTCTATTACTGTCTGATTTGATTATTTATTGGTCTTTTTAAGCTTGATTAAGCCTGATATTTGTCCCTTTGTTATCTGAAAGCACCATAGCATTAGTAAACAAGATCTGTGAAAGTAGGATTATTTTTAACGAGTAGAATTGCAAAAAGTTCAGGATTATTAGAAAATACATTTCTTTGATTTTTGAAGTAGTTTTAATTTGAAATTTATTTGTCAAAAAAGGATCTGTATATTTCTTCCTCATGAGAGTGTTATTTATTATACAATATGAGATAATCATCACTCTCTGAGCTAATTGATCATAAAAACTCATTTAATATTTTTAAATTTTAGTGTCAACCCTAATTGTCTTGCTTAATAACTTTATGCTAAATCCTTTCATGGCATCAGCAAAGAATTATTTACAGTATTCATTCATTCAGTCAGTCAGTCAGTCATCCAGTCATTCATTATTTGGGTCCTGCAGTAATATATATTGCTTTCTTTGTATTAGTCATAATATGTGATATTGATTGTTGTGCATGTACAATTTAATCTTCATTAAATTTCTCAGTTAATTGCTGTGTACATCAGCCTTGTATTTGATCCTGAGTAAAAGATAGTATTCAGATCTCTGTGTTATTTGATATTGCTGAATACTGAATAGCAGTATCAATCCTGTCCAACTAGATCAGATCTTTTTTTAATGTCCAAAATACAGGTAGTACTCAACTTTACAACAGTTCGTTTAGTGACTGTTCAAAGTTACAACAGCACTGAAAAAAGTGACTTATGATCATTGCAGTATCTCCATGGTCACATGATTTATTATTCAGATGCTTGACATCTGATTCACATTTATGATGGTTGCAGTGTCCTGGGATCATATGATCCCATTTTGTGACCTTCTGACAAGGAATTTCAATGGGGAAATCAGATTCACTTACAACCGTATTATTAATTTATCAACTGCAGTGATTCACTTAACAACTGTGGCAAGAAAAGTTGTAAAATGAGGCAAAACTCGCTTAACAAATGTTGGACTCAATTGTGGTCATAAGTTGAGGAATACCTGTATTACTTCCAGCTCTGATATAATTATAAGTTATAAACATTTAAAATTGTGAAATTTTCAAAATGTAACACAAAGTTTTCATTCTAATTTTTTTTTCAAAGCAAGACTATTTATTGATTCCCCCCTTTTTTTCTTGCCATTTAGCTAATAGACTGTTCTTTCTGGTACACAGGTTCAGAGTACTTCATGGATGCCCCATCCATCATATGTTATGCAACCAACAGTAAGTAAATACAACAACAACTGCCTTTCTTGTTTCTTTCTTAATTAAGAATTAGTCAGATGCTCTCCACTGCTCTTGCTGAAACAGATTCATTAAACTGACCATTTATTTAAGTGATCTAAACTACAAAACATTAAATATTAGTGGGGAATTAGATGGAATTCTCTGTGGATCATATGTGTGCACATTGCTTCTATGGATTGCTCTTAAAAGTACATGGATTGCCAAAAGCAGTAGTTAACATGTCATTTTTGCAGGAATTCAGAGCTGTAATTATGACTAAGAATTCCCTGACAATTTCCCTGGGCTAAGAGCTCAGTGTTGGGCACTCTTTTAGGGACATTCAGTTTATTTCCTAGAACTTCAGGATAAAAAGCCAGGTAGCAAGTAATGAGAAAAATCTACTGAAGGTTTTGGAAAGTTTCATGCATATATTTATATGTGTCTTTGTGTTATACTCCTCACTATCAGAGTATCTTGTGGAAGCAAAGTTTATATTTTCAGAGGTAACTTGATCTGTCCAAAATGATAAAGAGGATTCTGCTACATAAGGGTATGATAGCAGGTATGACAACATTTATTAAGCAGGTTTTTGTATGGCTGTAGTGGAAATTCCGTAAATAAAATATATACAGTATTCTGTTTAAGCTCAGGTGAGGTGTTTTGTTTTGTTTTGTTGCAATGAACCCTTGCATTCATTTTTTTTTGGAGCAATCTTCTGTTTTCTTTTTGTACTAAGAAGTGGCAATCCTGAATGATTTCCATGTGTCAGATGTATTGAAGACATCTTCATTCTGGAAATGTCCTTAGGGAATCTCGTTAAATTCAATATTGTTTGTACTGAAAGATGATGTTGATAAATATGCTGTTTTTCTTGATGGTAAGGGAATTACTAAGTAGATATTGCATACTTTATGAATTATTACATTAGAAAGAACAAGAAAACCACACTTCTGTGAATACTAAGTTGTCAGGACAAGTACATCTGCTGCCACTCTTGTTTACATCTTTTTTAAAGAATGAAAAAAGTTTTTATTGGAAGAACAAATCATACTGAAATATTCACCAAAATAAAATAGGGATGGTGTTTTGATTTTTTCTTGATCAAATTGTTTGGTTAGAATGTGACATAAATATCCCATTCAAACTTGATTAACTACCGTATATACTCGAGTATAAGCCGAGTTTTTCAGCCCATTTTTTGTGCTGAAAAAAATCCCCCTCGGCTTATACTCGAGTCAGATTCCCCTCTGAAAAAAAAATTGGTGTGGAGTTGCTGCCGCCGGAGCGGCCCCAGTCCTGCCGCCTCGGGAAGGGAAAAGCAAAGCGCTTTTTGCCTTTCCCTTCCCGGCTGGGGCTGTTGGGAGTCGCTGCCGCCGGCGCGGCCCCAGTCTTGCCGCCTCGGGGAGGGAAAGGCAAAGCGCTTTTTGCCTTTCCCTTCCCGGCTGGGGCTGTTGGGAGTCGCTGCCGCCGGCGCGGCCCCAGTCCCGCCGCCTCGGGAAGGGAAAGGCAAGGCGCTTTTTGCCTTTCCCTTCCCGGCTGGGGCTGTTGGGAGTCGCTGCCGCCTGCCTTTCCCTTCCCGGCTGGGGCTGTTGGGAGTCGCTGCCACCTGCCTTTCCCTTCCCGGCTGGGGCTGTTGGGAGTCGCTGCCACCG